TGGGAAGATGACGCTATCGTGAACGTAGCATTGCGACATTGTAGTTCTCTTTCTCTTTTTTCGATTTGCAGATAATGGTTTGTGCCCGTCTCTACCTTCTCTTTTTTCGATGCGGTGAAGGAGATTCAAATATTGCAACCAGCATAAAGGAGATACCTGTACCAACTTGAGGGAGGCAACGTTCACAGTAGCGCGAAGCTACATCTCAATCTGCATTTTTTTGGGGATTTTTCGATCTGACGGCGATTTTGGTTGGAGGTGCTGATGGGTGTTAATGGTGGCAGTGGCGGTCGACAATGGTGATGTGATGGAAACGCTGCAATAGCTTCTTTGTGCAGCGTGGATGTGGCTGGGTGACGGTTTTGGGGTGAACATGTGGTGATGGTGGTGCGAGGGATCTGGTAGGACGGCTGTGGTGGTGATGGTAGCGGCGTTGCTTGTGTTGGCAGTGGTGATTTGGGTGGTGTTGGTGAGATAGGTAGTGCATTATTGGGTGTGTTTCTGGTCTTGGTGGTTGTAGTGGTTTTTGGTGGTGGCTGTGTTGGCGGTGGAGACTATGGTAAGGTTGTGGGTTAGGTATTGTTGTTATGTTCGGTGGTGGCAGTTGTGGCGGTTTCTGGTGGGGGTATGTACTGTGGGTACTGTTATGCCCCTCACCAAATCGCTTCGGCATGATAGACCCACTCCTCTACAAGGCTCCACGTGTCACTACGAAGTGGTTTTGAAGCAATTTCAACCCCATCTAGCAACCCAAGCGATCGAAGCGCCTCCTGAAACCGAAGCGTTGGGCACTCCGAGGTGCTCCCTTAAAAGATGCCTCCGTCGCCAACTTCAAAAGTCTATCTGCGTCAGGATCCTCTATGGAGGTAACATCTCCATGGGCCTAGTTGATATGACATATCAACTTTGTATCAACTCAATTTAGAGAATTAATTACCCATCCATTCTAAATGTGGCTGATTGATGCCTACGAGCAGACATCTCACACCGTCGAATGTATACACGTATCTCACATCCAATGGTGCTCCTCATCTATAAATACCCAAGGTTTAGTAAGAGACAAAGAAATTGATACTAGGCTTAGCTCTCCACACAAGAAATATTTATTCTCCTCCCCACTCTCTTGCATGATTCAAGCACTATTCCGATCGCTAACTTGATCGTTGGAGTGTATGCGGCCGCCACCACCTCCGTTGGTTCCGATCGTGTGCTTCTGACCGTTCGTTATTGTGTGCAGAGAGGATTACGTGGAGTGACTATCGGTTGGCCACGTAGGGGGTCTATTTTGCGAGGTCAACAGATTGGCGCCGTTTGTGGGAATCTTTTAGTCCAAAAAGTTCCACATTTACCATCGGAGAACCATTGACTTACCCTGAAAAAGATATACTCTTGGTAAAGGATTAAGTCAACCTATAATTCAAGTTCTTAAACCCTTGAAAAAGGAGAAGAAAATGAGTTGCAGAAATGATGATGCAAATTTCGAACTAAGGGGTGTCTCTGAAAAAGAGGTGCTCCGAACAAAAATCACGCACCGGAGACCCCATCACCGACGTCGCCGAGGTGATAGAACAGCAACACTAACTGAAGGAATGTCTCATATAGCCACAGGTATGAGGGATATTGTGGCTCAGAATATAACGATGCACGAGTTCTTCATGCAAGTCCAAGGTCAGCAGGGCTTCCCAATGCCACAAGGGCTGCACTTACCTCAAGGAAAAACCCGACATCTCATGCCCCGAGTCATTCAAGCCACCATAGAGAACATCTCATTGAGAGGGAAGTGGAAGTGGATGCCACTTCCTATACCCAAGGCACTCACGTGTCAGAACTACAGCTGGGAGAAAACTTCCCACCAAAATACGAGCCTTAGAGGTCGGTTAGTGTCTTTGATTGGATAGGGCGAAATCCTAGCAATAAGGTCCGCTTCATACAGAGGTCAGCCCAGCATGTGCAAGAGCATGTGTAAGAAGAAGAATAAGAAGCACCTCCTCTGTCTATAAATAGGCGGGAAATGAGAAACCTAGTGGACTGGGGTAGTCGGGGAGGGACATCTCCACCTTCCCAAAATACGTTAGAGAAGGAAGGCTTTGAAAGGCCATGACGCTCTTATGAAATTGATAATGATGATGACAATCTCCCTTTCTGCAGAGAAATTCGAAGTTCCCCAATACCCGCAAACTTCATGCCCCCTAAAATCCCTAAGTATGAGAGAAATGGGGACCCACAGAAGCACCTTACAAAGTACATGACACAAATGAGCCTTAGAGGAGCCTCACCGACACTAAAATGTAGGGCCTTCCATCTAACCCTCGCCGGAGCCGTCGAAGTGTGGTACAACAGGTTACCACCCTTAAGCATCAGAAGCTAGCCAGATCTGAAGAGGCCCCAATGCAATGCCTACAAGATATGAGGCAAGCTCCTGACGAGACGTTGAAAAGCTATCTCTCCAAATTCACTGATGAAATCACATACTGCAAACAAGTCAGGGATAGAGAGGCCCTCCCAGCCTTGAAAGGAGGCCTCAACATGAACACATTGCTCTAGAGAGACGTGCGAGCAAGAATCCAGGCACTTATGATGAACTGGCTGAGATGATGAGAGTAAAAATCGTCAATGAGGAGATGATTGACCACCGGGACCGTGCAGCTCAGTATCTTCCTCCACCTCAGAGATAGATAGGTCAAAAACTAGCGATATACCTCATCACCCAACAATGGACCCAGGCAGGTCACGCTGTAGCCCCCACATCCGAACAGGCATTGGCTTCAGCTACGCTGAATGTAGTGCCAATACTGGCATATGAAAATGCCCCTGTCAAAGCGGGGTCATCTTGAGGAATAAACAACAACCGACGTAAGAAGAAGAAGTAGACAAACAGGCCACTGGAAGGAACAAAGTTCTGCAGATTCTACCAACTTTATGGACATGACATCAGCGAATGCAGGGACGCGCCTTGGTCCTCAAATGGAAGCAACTCACGATCCTCCAGGAAGGATCATTATCATGAACACCCCCGGAGGTTCGCTTCTCCCAATAGGGAGTCGAGACGACAAAGGGATCAATCACCTCGAAGGAGAGAAACAAAGGATAGATCTCGAGGAGAATCTAGAAAAGGAGCCAGGCCCTAGCCACCGGGAGTGATACTATCCGGGAAATTGATACAATCATTGGAGGACCTCACATTGGAGATAATACCAGAAATGTACAGAGAAACTATACAAGGGAAGCGAAAGACCCACCAATGATTACGTACATTGTCAACCAATCCCAAACTAACAGAATGGCTCCAATCACTTTCTCTCAAGAAGATTAGCAAGGTGTTCATCACCCCCACTGTGATGCGTTAGTAGTAAGAGCCATTGTGGCTTGGAATGGACTCAAGCGCATGCTTGTTGATAATGGAAGCTCGGTGAATATACTGTTCGGATTAACCTTTGACAAGTTACAGATTGAGCATGGCTTGATTCCTATGGCCGACCCAATATTCGGATTCGTTGGTGATAGCATCGTCCCATGAGGATGAATCACTTTACCTGTTGAGATGGGATCAGCACCCCCAGTGGCTCATCACTTCATGGAATTCTTAGTGGTAGATCGCATGTCAGCTTACCACTGGGTACTAGGCCGAACTACACTAACGGACATTTGGGCCGTGACCTTCATTTACAACTTATGTATGAAGCTCCCAACTGAGCATGGGATCGCGACGGTCCGAGGTGACCAGATGGGTTCGAGATCATGCTATCTCAATTTTCTATGAAAATCTGAGCCCCACTCTGTGAATGTGATAATAACCGATGCAACAAATGAAGTCAATACGGATGTAGAGATGCTTGACGTCCCTGAACAAGGATAGACCCCCAAATAGGGGAAAGATGTCGACATGATCAAGGCCCCTGAAGAAGGGCACCCTCTTGATGAATTAGATCCTCGGATCATTGAGTCTGAACCGAGTGCAACTCCTATGGAAGAACTCGAAACTTTCCCTACCAACTCTCAAGACCCCACTCAGGTCTTGCGAATGGGAAAAGCTTTGTCCCCTGAGATAAAAGAAGAACTGATGAACTTCCTGAAAAGGAATTTGGACGTCTTCGCATGGAAGTACGAAGACCTGGTGGAAATAGACCTAAGGGTCAGCTGCCACTACTTAAATATCAACCCCACTTGCATATTGCATCGACAAAAGATGCGAGTCCTCAATCCAGAAATAAATAAGATGCTGAAGGAAGAAGTCGACAAGCTAAGTCGTAATGGCTTTATCAGAGAAGCCATTTATCCGATGTGGATATCCAACCCAGTGCTTGTAAAGAAATCCAGCAAAAAATGGAGGGTGTGTGTTGACTTCACCAACTTGAACAAAGCTTGTCCAGAGGACAGCTTTCCCCTCTCAAGCATAAACCAACTTGTGGACTCCACTCTTAAGCTTATTCAGGGTGTAACCAAATACCCATGTTTATCGAAGATCGAGGATTGTATTGCTACAAGGTGATGCCCTTCGGATTGAAAAATGTCGGCGCCACATACCAGAGATTGGTCAACATGATGTTCGCCGACTTCATTGGCAAAACTATGAAAGCGTATGTTGATGACATGCTGGTCAAAAGCCTCCATGCAATGGATCACATAAGTCACCGAGACATCACTTTTCAAATTCTAAGGAGATATAAGATTAAGCTGAATCCGCTGAAGTGCACCTTTGGGGTAGCGTCGGGTCAATTTTTGGGATACATTGTAAATCAAAGAGGGATTGAGGCAAACCCCGAGAAGATAAAAGCCTTGTTAGAGATGAAGTCACCCCAGAAGCCTAAAGAGGTGCAAAGCCTTAATGGAAGAATTGTTGTACTCAGTCACTTTATCTCCAAAGCCACTGATAAGAGCCTACCATTTTTTAAGATTCTGAAGCAGGAGAAGAAGTTCTAATGGACTGAAGAATGTGAGGCAGCCTTCCAAGAGCTGAAGAAGCACTTGGGATAGGCACCCCTACTGTCTAAACCTAAACCATGCGAGACACTCCTACTTTATTTGGTAGTTTCGAATGAAGTAGTCAGTGCAGTGTTCGTTAGGGAAGAAAAGGCACGCCAACTGCTAGTATACTACATCAACAAAGCTTTGTTGCTAATAGAGACTCGCTATCCAGACATTAAAAAGCTTGCACTCTCCCTTGTTATCGCGTCAAGGAAGTTGAGGCCATACTTTCAGGCTTATTCAATTGAAGTCCTCACCAACTTCCTATTGAAACAAGTGCTATAGAAAATAGACGCTTTGGGTTGACTGCTAAAATGGGCATTTGAGTTCAGTGAATTCGACCTGCTATTTAAACCCTGAAGCGCCATCAAGGCCAGATCCTTACAGATTTTGTTGCTAAGTTCACCAAAGCCCCAAAAATAGAGGCAACAATGGATCCAGCAGAGCTACCAACATGGAAGCTATTTGTGGACGGATTGTCAGGAGAAAGCGGCTCCGAAGTCGGAGTCATTTTGGAAAGCCCAGAGGGCCATAGGCTAAACTGTGCAATCAGGTTCAGCTTCAAAGTCTCGAACAATTCTGTAGAATATGAAACCCTCCTAGCAAGCCTCAGACTGGCCAAAGAAATGAAAGTTAGAAAATTAAAAGCCAATAGCGACTTACAACTTGTGGTGAGTCAGGTCAATGGAAGATTCATAGCTAAAGACAGTGGCATGGCTGCTAATTTAAAACTAGTTCTGAGCCTAGTTCCCCACCTTCAGAGGTTTGAATTGGTCCAGGTCCCAAGCTTTGAAAATACACATGCGGACGTCTTTTCCAAACTTGCTAATAGTAAGGATTCTGAGCTGCTAAGAATCGTTCCAATCGAGCACCTGTCGAAGACCTCCATCTCTGGAGGTGAAGAAATAATGTGGATTTAGGTACCCCACCTTAGCTGCAACCCATTATAGTTTATCTAAAGATCAATCACGACCACCCTTGAAGAACGAAGCAAAGAAGTTGAGAAGAAGGGCTGCTTACTTCATACTTCAAGATGATGTGTTGTATAAAAGAGGCTTCTCATCACCCCTACTACAGTATGTTGGAGGAGAGGAAGCCATGTACATTCTAAGAGAAATTCACGAGGGAGTCTGTAGTAACCACTCTGGTGGAACAGCCTTGGCACACAAGGTACTTCGACAAGGCTATTTTTGGCCGACCCTAAAAATGGATTCCTGTCAATTTGTTCAAAGATGTGATAAGTGCCAACGGTTTGTCAATGTTTAGAGACAGCCTTCCTAGGGACTTTTCATGGTCACCAGCCCATGGCCCTTCACCAAATGGGGTATAGACTTCATTGGCCCCCTCTCGAAAGGAAGAAGAAGTGCAACCTTTGCCGTTGTTGCCATTGACTACTTCACTAAGTGGGTCGAAGCTGAACCTCTAGCCAAAATCACCGAGGCGAACACCACAAAGTTTGTCTAGAAAGTTCGGCATTCTCCACTCCTTAGTGTTTGATAACGGAAGGTAGTTCAATAATAAAAATATGTGAGATTTGTGTGATGAACTCAACATAAGGAATGGCTTTTTAACACCTCGACACCCCAAGCAAATGGGCAATTTGAGGCAATCAACAAAATGATCAAGCACACCCTGAAAAGGAAGCTTGACACCTCAAAAGGGGTATGGATCGATGAACTTCCCCATGTCCTTTGGGCCATACGAATAACAAGCTGAACCGCAACAGGATAAATACCTTTCTCCATGACTTATGGAGCCGAGGTCATGAGTCTAGTCGAGGTGGGAATCCCTTCGCATCGTCGTATAAACTTCAATGAGATTGACAGCGATGAAGCGAGTGTGTGCAAACTCCATCTCCTGGAAGAAATAAGAGATTCATCCCAAGTCAAACTGGCTGCGTATCAAAGGAAGATGACCCGCTATTACAACTCAAGGGTCAGAAGCTGAACTCTACGTTTAGGCGACCTGGTACTCAGAAGGGTGTTCCCATCATCAAAACCAATAGGCTCCGGAGTGTTTGGACATAATTGGGAAGGCCTGTACCGTAACATTAAAGAGTCCCGACGCGAAACTTATGAAATTAAAGATATGGCTGGGAAAGTGTTGCCTCATTAGTGGAAAATTGAGCATTTAAGAAAGTACTACCAATGAATAAATGTATGTTCTGATCCAACTTGCTTATGACCCACAAGCTGTTGTAACTTATTCCTCTAACTAACCGCTCAAATTGCCTAGTGTATGATTGTTGAATTCAAGTTATTTGAATCTTTAGTTCGTCATTATATTCTATGGATTATCATTTTATGCCTCAACCGCTTATTGATGGTTTGTAATGTTGACTTAAGCATTCATCAAATCATAATATTAAACAGTCCAACATAAGAGAAGAAGCCTCAACACTTGAAGAAGAAAAAATTTCAATTCATTAATTTCAAAAACATTACAAGTGGTGTGCCGAAGCCATTACAAAATTCTATTCTACTAGTATTATGGCCCTGCCTCAGCTTCTCATAGAGCAGCCATAGCCTCTTCAGCAGCAGCTATGTCCGGGCGACTTTCGGTGGGCCCACCAAACTCATCCTCCAAAACCAAGATGTCCAACTTCAGGTGGACCTCTCTGAGGCGCTGCAACATAGCTTGGACATTCCACGAGGTCCAATAGTTGGCGAAGGTATTATACAGCTCGTGCTCTTCAAAATGATTGATATAAGTGTCGCACGGCTGACTCCCCAATTGCTTTTGCCTCTATCTTCAGAGAGTTAATCTCTTTGACTTGGGTCTCTAGCTGCTGCCTCAGCTCATTCTTCTCCTTATTTGAGGCATCGAGGGCCTCCACTGTGAGGCAGTGATACTCGTTGGCGTGGTCAATCTGCCTCATCAGAATAGCTACTTAGCATTCAGTCTCATACAGTTCTTTCTTCAGCTGCTCTGATGCGGCCTTAGCTTTTACCACCCTCGTCTCTGCCCCCTCCCTTACTTTCTAGGCCTCATCTACTTTGGCCCAGGTCATCCTCACCTCATCTCCATAAAGCGAGGCCTTCTCCAACCTTTAGGCTAGGTCGGCGTTCTTCGCCATCAGGTCCTTAACTAGGCTCTCCAGTTGGACACTGGTGCTCAAGGCTCAGGCGATGCAGGCACTGTTTGTAGCCACAAGGTCCTCGACGGTGTGAGAGGAAATGTGATCCCTCCAGGCCTTGGTCCAGTATTTACAGTGGACCGGGCTACAACAACAGTTTCTGGACGAAGTGCCACCAAGACCTCCTTTACAGGCTCCTCGAAGGTACAGCCCAAGAAGTCCTACTCCTTTGTGGGGCGGGCCCTATTTTTCTTCTCCCTGCTTTACAGGACAAATGACTGGGGCAACAATCGGAATAGGGGGTGATGCGACAATAAGGGCAGAGGCCAGCACGATAGTAGCTTTTGGCGAATGGGCAGACCTCTCCCGTATTATAACCCCAGTGGGAATCATCGTCTGCTTTGTGGCTGTCCTTGCCACTATTGGGGCCCTTGAAGGCTTAGCCATCTTCTTTTCCTTCTTCAGTAAGGGCTTTTTTTTGTCGACCCAGGATAGCTTCTTGCTGGCAGCTGCCAAAGAATTTGTTTCTTAAAGGCCAACGAGGAGGTCTTCAAGGCTCTGGCCTCAGCCATCATCCTTTGGATGGTTTTAAAGTCCAACTTCAGGGGCCTCTTCTTGTTAAAGTCATCTGCAAGAAAACACAACGGATCAGTCTATATATACTTCAACCACCATTGTGATAGACAAACTGAACAACATTCACCTTGGAAGGCCATCAATTCATGTGCAACGAAGTGAATATTCTTCCTTATCAACTAGTTGTAAGATCTCCTTTTCGGAGGGAGCTGATACACAATGCAGATCGTGTCAAAGTCCTCGATGGATAACTCACACTGAGGAAGAGGACCTGCAAGAACATATGAATTATCTTTCGAATACAAGTAAAATATACATTCATAGGCAAAGTGCTAGTACTCACTAAATGTGGAATATTTCGTGGGAATAGTAAGAGGTGCCAAGGGGTCAACCTCCATCGTGTCCTATCTCTCGAAAGCCCAACACCACGAACTCTTCCATTCCTTGATGGAGCTCGATAGATTGAGCAAGAATGGAGTATGAGACCCCCAGAGGTCATATAATACCACCCCTTCATCTTATCACCCTCCGCCGTAACCTTGGGTATATACATAGTTTGGAAAATAGAGAAGGGCATCTCCACCCCATAGGATGCCTCCTTCCACAGGATCTACAAACCCACCATCTGGCTCCAAGTGTTAGGATTCAACTCGGTGGGGGCTAGGCCATAGGACCTTAATACTTATCTAAAAAATGGGTGAATAGGTAACCTAAGCCTCGTCCTCAGGATGGCCTCACTAATAGCCACGTACCCTAGCCTTGGGTAACAGGCTCGCTCATCCGACCTCGGAAGTATTAAACCCACACTGTCTAGGATTCTATACTCAGTCCTAAGCCTAGCCAGGTCTACTGTTTTCAACTTGGAAGGGTAGTCAGATGCCCTCCAGTGTCAAAAGTGTCTATTGGGTTGTCAGGTCACCTCCAAAAGTTCTTCCCCCAATATTGATAGTTTTGAGGGGGTCGCCAATAGGCGTTGGTCTACCCTCACTATCTCCAGATTCCTCCCATACGACCCACTACCCTCAAAGCCATTTTCTCTCGAAGGTAATTATAATAAACTTGCGAGATTTACTGAAATGAGAATAAGGAAGTGCTCCACGATCGGAGAGTCTAAAATCAGTCTAGAAATCATCGAAAAAGCTTGAATGTCGTTGAAACACCTTGAAAAACGTCAAAAATCGCAAAGTTTTGGGAGCGAGAGAACTTTCAGATGCAAGAATAGAAATCTTGCAAAACACACTAAGTCCTTCTTTTATAGGAGACCTCAAACGATCCCCACCATTGAATTCAAATGATATCAATTTGAGCCGTTTATCGCTCGCAAATCTAGACCGTTGAAATGAAACGCCAGATTTGATCAATGCCCAAGATTTGCCTGTGTCCCTCACGTATTCGTAAAACACGTCACCTCAAACAACAATCGTCTACAATAAGTAGCCACAATAGTCCTTTTTCTGGGAACATGCATCACATCCAACTCTCGCCTTGGATATACGCGACAGCTGTCACATCGATTAATGTCATAATAAGGCACTTCAGATCAAGGATTTTTCAACCAATATCTCTCACGCATGGAAGGAGAGGCACCGGTGCAATGCCTACAAGATATGAGGCAAGCTCCTGACGAGACGTTGAAAAGCTATCTCTCCAAATTCACTGATGAAATCACATACTGCAAACAAGTCAGGGATAGAGAGGCCCTCCCAGCCTTGAAAGGAGGCCTCAACATGAACACATTGTTCGAGACGTCCGAGGTAAGAGTCCAGGCACTTATGACGAACTGGTTGAGATGATGAGGGTGGAAATCGTCAATGATGAGATGATTGACTACCAAAATCGTGCAGCTCAGGGACTTCCTCCGCCTCAAAGGCAAATGGGTCAAGGACCAGCGGCACACCTCGTCAACCAGCAATAGACCCAGGTAGGCCACACAGTAGCCCCACATCCGGACAGGCATTGGCTTCAACCACTCTGAATGCAGTGCCAGTGCTGGCGTATGAAAATGCTCCTACCGAAACAGGACCATCCGGGGGAACAAACACCCGACGAAGAAGAAGAAGTAGGCGAACAAGCCTTTGAAAGGAGCAAAGTTCTGCAAATTTCACCAACTCTATGGCCATGACATCAGTAAATGCAGATATGCACCTCGATCCTCAAGTCAAAACAACCCACGCTCCTCCAGGAGAGACCATTATCATGAACACTCCCACAGGTTCGCCTCTCCAAATAGGGAGTCGAGGCAACATCGAGATCAATCACCTCAAAGAAGAGAGACGAGAGAGAGAAAGATCTTGAGGAGAATCCAGGCAAAGGAATCAACCCCAACCACCGGAGACGATACTATCCGGGAAATTGATACAATCATTGGAGGACCTCACATTGGAGATAATACCAAAAATGTACAGAGAAACTATACAAGGGAAGCGAAAGACCCACCAATGATTACGTACATTGTCAACCAATCCCAAACTAACAGAATGGCTCCAATCACTTTCTCTCAAGAAGATTAGCAAGGTGTTCATCACCCCCACTGTGATGCGTTAGTAGTAAGAGCCATTGTGGCTTGGAATGGACTCAAGCGCATGCTTGTTGATAATGGAAGCTCGGTGAATATACTGTTCGGATTAACCTTTGACAAGTTACAGATTGAGCATGGCTTGATTCCTATGGCCGACCCAATATTCGGATTCGTTGGTGATAGCATCGTCCCATGAGGATGAATCACTTTACCTGTTGAGATGGGATCAGCACCCCCAGTGGCTCATCACTTCATGGAATTCTTAGTGGTAGATCGCATGTCAGCTTACCACTG